TGTTACCATTTAAGAAGGGAGACCTCGACGATATCGGCAACCGTAGCCCAATATGTTGACTGCCTATGGTTCACAAACTTTTCACTTGAGTTACCCTAAACAGCATTAACATAGCAGTGGACTAAGGACAGCTGTGTGAGCAAGCAGGATTTCTAAAAGGATTCAATACAAAGAAACACATCCACTCTATAACAAGAGCAATTGAAGTATCACGAGAGTATAAGTGAACATTCTGTCCTACTTTCATCGATTTAAAGAAAGCTTTCGACTCAGATGATATAGAAGCGCCTATGGAACTCTTGGGCAGACAGGGTGTCCCTCCTTAGCATGTAGGGATTTTTCGTGGACTATTTAGAAACTCCATAATCAAAATATCACTATTCTATAAACACATTGGCATCGACTTCAAAAGAGAGGTTAAGCAAGGCGATACTATATCGCCGAAATTATTAAGCACCACCACTGAGAACGTCATAAGAGCACGGAGACCGAACTACATAGGATTAAAGATCGATGGTTGGCCATTGCGCCATTTTCGTTTTACTGATGACATCGTCCTTATCTCCAATCTCTCTAGGATACGGTGGAGTGGACACGTATTGTGTGTGAACGACCACCGATGGACATGCTAGTGATTGGGATTCCACAGGATATCATATGTGCTGCAAGATGCTCGACGAATTCCTAGAGCGAGCAGAACCCATTGCGCTACTGTTGCCTGCGACGGGGATAAATAGAAAGTTTACTGACGCCCGCTCGACTCACTCGATGATCAACAGGGTTACAGTTGGTACAGGTGACGCACTTCCTGAAAATTAGTCTATTCGCATGTGAAACAGTTTAAAACTCACCCAATTTTCAGTATGGATGGTGAGTTAAAGAACAAATTCATGCAATACTTGGGGCACTATGTGACTTAGTGAAATAAAACTTCTCTGTTCAAACCACCTTTTGTGAACTATGGAAATGCTTCTCGAAGGAGCTAAAGGAAAATCGTTCCATCAACCGGTTGCCAGTAGAAAACCGGATTATCGCGCAATCGAGCTGTCTTTGTCTACGAAGCCTCATATTACACGTATGACTGCGCACAAAAATTATAATTAGTGATATGAAAAAAGCTGTTGCAAAATCGACAACGTGCACTGATGGTGGCTCCAGCGAAGATGAAGACACTCCCTCTAGCGAAGAAACGAAATTCCCCTTTAGTGAAAATATTGGGAATTGTGTGAATTTTCTTGTTGCTTGCATGAACGTGATTGCGCCGCTGATTTCTCGGTCACTAAAAATCATCGTCTGCATGCACGAAACCGATCACTTTCATGTCTCCATGAGCGACGATGGTCGTGAAAAACAAAGTAGTTGAAAACGGTTGAATCTAATAAAAAGTTGTGCATATATGGCCTAGTTGAATGCATATATGGCCTATACAAAGACTCGTGGTGGTCTACCGATGTGTCGAATCAGTGCTGCCATGTATCCAGACAGGTCTCGTACCAATTTATGTACTTCGAAGGGATTGAGAACTTGGTCAGGTTGGGCGCGAGATCGAACCCATGTGCATTGTCCCAGCGACTCTACACTACCGCGCTACACGCGAAGGGGTTCGAGAACGTGACACATTATCGCCAGAGGTGTTTACTTCCACACTGCAGTGGATTATGAAATCACTTGGTTGAGACGGGAAAGGCATACTCATTGATGGCAAATTCCTTCCAAACCCCTTTGTGGTGGATGACGACGTCATTTCTTTGGAAAGTACCATTTAAGTCCTCGATAAACTCAATAAGGTGGAAAAACATCAGACTGTGGATTAACAGGATGATAACTAAGTTCACGAACAGCCTAGGGTGCAAAGATAGGCAAACTGAAGTATATGGTTCTTTGATTGCAGAGAATACGTTTACCTTGGGCGTTCAGTGAACATGGAGAACAGTAGGAATGAGGAATTAAACAACGATGTACGGCACCATGGTCCCTATTTTGGCCTCTTAGAAGCTATCGACCAACTAACGGATTCAAAGCCTCTGTGCTCACTTTTTGAATTTATTAGTATTCCTAGATCAGTTTTATCCAGTAGAGTGGGCCGCTTCTTCAACCACGACAGGACTCTGCGCACCATCCACAGAGCGCTTGAAAAATGTCCTTCGAAATTTAAGCAGCACTTACATTCTCTGGATGAAACGTGAGACTCAGACATTCGCAGTCAGCGCCACCTTCGAGATACAGCAGAACATACATGGACTATCAAGCACAAAGAGGCTTAACACATGCAAAAAAACAGATGACAGATGACCGAAAAGAAAAGTGGAGTAGGTTTCAAGAGAATGCAAGCATCATTTTGGACGGACATCCTCCAAATGATGGGCGGACATGTTCGTGACTAATGCCAATCACTTTCATTGGAAAATGGGAATTATTTCAAATCCACGGAATGGGCTTCGCGGACATCACCATGTTCGAAGCAGGCCACCACTATCGAAGAAGAATAGACAAGAGAGAAAGAGAGAGGGAGGGAGAAAGAAACGAGCAGAAATTGCCCTGTGTAGGTCCAGTGAAGATTTGCCATCCAAGCATACAAGCGAATACGAGTAAGAAGAACGCATGTCTAACTCCTCGACGGCTTATTGTTATCCTGAAGAAGGGAATGGGACTGCTACGAGAATTGAAAATCACTTTCAAACCGCAGCAAAGCTGTTGTCCGAAAAAAAATTTCCTAGGGATATTTCTAGGGTTTGAATCAAGGGTGGAGATTCCGGAAATTCTTCACATAAAAATATTCGAATTCAACTATCAATCGCGACTGGAAGCTCAGTGAGTTGACCTATGGTTAATGATAAGAAGGGCATTGACAGTAGTGATCACTGATCACTGTAAGCGGAGCCACCTTCAATAGAATGTCAACTACATAAGAATAACAATGTTTAACGTTTTGTTTTCTGCCTTCTATAATTTTCATGGCAGGTTACTAAGCAAAATACAACCACAACGTTGCTGCGACATTTGCAAAACTCTGGACCGAGGTGTCTATGGTGGGGAACGAACGCGCTATTGTCCTTTCCGGGGAGTAACGCGTTTACCACCACACCATGCGGGTCCTTCGTTTCGCCTGTCTCTCCGCTATTCGCTCGTTCCCCACCATAGACACCTGCGGTCCAGAGTTTTGCAATTATCTCAGCAACGTTGTGGTTATATAAGAATAGTTCTCTTATTTCTCATGTTCATTTCGAACAATCATAATGCCGAAAACAATTACAAGGACAAGGGTTTCAATTCGATTTTTTATGCGCTAAGAATTCGTTTTTCCTTTGAAGTGAACGACCAAAAGTACTTCTGCTCTATCTCTACGACTATATCAATGTGTTTTCAATCCGAATTGTAAAGCGTTTTTCAAAACAGAACAGGGATTTATTTTTTCTTTGATAAGCCTACATGAAACTGATAAAAAATTTCTATTTGGCTAACGTTTCTACGTCTTCGTCTTCATCAGAGCCCATTGGAAGACAAGGATTTCTCAGGAAATGGGTGCATGAGTACCTTTCTGCCAGCTCGGGTTTAAACAAACGTATTCCCTATTGCTTATAACGGTCCATTATTTAACTTTAATTGATTTTTTCTAACAAATCGTGATGACATTCAAAACATAAAACAGGCCATTTGAACAGATACAAACCACTAATCTAGTAAGCCAACCATATGGCCTAATTGTTGAAAGTCTAATGTTTTTCTCTCATTTTCCAATTTTAGGAGTATAATGTGTACCACGGCAAGACAGAGAAAGGTAGCCATGAGTATCTTTTCCAGAGGAAGTACAACATACGTCATGTGTAGTGCCCACCGTTTCCCTTGAATACGAGGACCTGAGTGCCCAATTCGAGTGCCGCTCTCCGATTACTCACCATTACGTCGGTTCGTAACAGTACAGCGAAATGCTATGTATTCAGAAATCTTATATCTTTAGTTTGCTTGATTGTCAAGCCTAATAAATGGACGTCGTGAGTCAGGCTAATGACTTCCGAAGATGGCTGTGCGAAACAAAAACCAAGGCTCTTAGAGGCCTTACTTCCTCTTACAAACGGTAATCTAGAAAACGGCCAGTATGAAACGCATTCTTCTTAAAAAAATATCCTTCCATTATCTGAATGTGAGAAACTCCAATGCTGAATTTTAATCGCGTGGGACTTCATTGGCATTCAACGTTTTGTTCTTCATAAGTCTTCCTGTTATTGTTGGACATCTGTCGTACAGAGTCTTACGTGGGTGAAGAATGTGCCCGAGTAAGATCAAACAATTAGTCTCAGGTATGGTAAGAGCCTAAGTGTGATCGCAGGGCGCTTACTCCTTGCAGTTTATTCTTGGAGTTTTAGAGTTTATCCAAAACGCTACAAGAATTTTGCGCACTGATGTTGAGGAGAGTGACAAAATCTCTCCATTATTTCACTGTGTCTGTTTATTGGAATATTTTGCCACCTTAAGTTTTCAATTTAGGTTTACTCATTTCGCCAAGGTATTCGCTCACAGGCTTGAGCTTGACAGACCAGGAGTACCGTATTGGCACTTAGGCAATAGCCGTTCCTACTGTAAGCTCAAATTATGGAATTTTACGTTGTATATAGCTAGTTGACAACATGAAGCCATTGACAGTACTGCAATCACTGCCACAGACTTTTCTAGAGAATCGCTTTATGGCCGCACTTATTCCTTAGAGAGTAATGGCGTATGAACCGAAATTTCATTTTGGCCATACATATCGTTCGGGGTCTTGTCGTTGACTCTGAAATTGCTCAGAGATTACAAAAGAGTCTTCACTGAACATACAGTAGAGGGTAACCGTGCATCAAGTACCTTTGCGCGAAATCATCATAAGAAGTCGATTTTTCATAGACAACTCGAAATTTCTTAACTAGCGTCTCCTTTCTGTAGTTTTAGATTGGTTCTCAATAAAAAATAACTCTACACTTCGCGAATGCTTTAAAGTGCTACGCTGTTTATTTATCCACAATCTAGTGAAGTGATGGAGCAAATCCGATGCGTTTCTGCCCGATGTCGAAGATATGACAGTATTGGCGGATGATTGGAGTGCCGAGAATCCAATGCGGTCTGAAGCCACCAGACTCGATTGAAAAAATGGCGAAATAACATGTATTTGCTGTCATCTAAATTTGAAAATCGTTTGGCCGTCAACTGCATAAATTAAGCATGTTGTAAACATGTAACCTTTTTAGAGGAAAATTGGAGAATAGTGCAGTGGATAAGTAAATAAGGTAGGAAAGCAAGTAAGGTAACTTATCTTAACGACGTAGTTAGCAGGGTCTATGCGATACTTGTTTGTTCCGATTGTTATATCAAGAGTTAGGTGTGTGACGTTACATTCTACAATGTACATATCCTCGGTGGCGTTATACTAGAATACATATAATAAATAATACAGAAGAGAATCGATAGATTTCTGTGCTCGACTTAAAACACCAACAAAGTAGTACCAGTGCTCCACCAGCTTTAGCGAGGAGGTCGACGACAGACTTCGGTCCGCCGATGAGCGATGTACCAGTGTCAGCAATAGCTTCGTAGACCTTCGTTTGCGTGTAATTTCCCATTCCAATGGCTGATATCTGCAGATTTTCACCTTACAAGTAATGTAAAGTCTGAGCACAGTTATGTGTAGACAACTAGCCTTAAACTGGTAATAGGTTGATGATGACAATGGTTCGTAGGCGATGATTGGCCCACAATTTTTTGTGTCAATTGCACCATATGTGATGAGACCTCCAGGTGTTCTCAGGGGGGTTCCACAGTGTTGCATCCAAACAGTGAAGACTGGGTGATCCAACAAATCTTAGAATGTTCTACTTATTAAGGACTACAGAGAGCAATCATGCAATTGTTGAAGTGACATTTGCTCACTCTGGGTGATAGCGTTGAAAAGAGGCGACACAGCTTTACTAGTGCCCGGTTCAGTGAACGCGAGACCCAGAATTCCATCTGCGGGGTCCTGCAGTAAAGACAGATGCTACCGTTTTTATGTCTGGAGAATCTTTACCAACCTTTTTTAGATCGGAGGATATATGTTTGGCAAGACCAAAGGTGGTGTTTGGAACCGCTAATTGTTGCTCATCCAATCCACCGAACTAGAAATGCATATAATTCGAAGTAAAAAATATTTCGACATATCTCATCAACCTTCATGGTGTCAGTTCCGAGAACACCTTTAGCTCTTCCCTCTTCATATTTGATCGACCAGGTTGTGTTGCTGCCCACAAAGGTGCTCGATGAGTTTGATCCGAACTTGTGCTTCGCACCGCATGATTCACTAAAAACTTTCATCTTTTGATTGGAATTACTTTCGTGAAATCTTCCATTTTCAATTCCGAAATAGTCTACATGATCCTCGATATAACAATGGCAACGAAAAAAATTTAAATGTTCGGATAAACGTGGCTGTTTCAAAGGTAAAAACTTCCCATATGAGTGACTTCTGATAGAGGGTTTACCTTAGCACCTCATAGAATAGAGTCTGAGCTCATTTCTCTATTGTGCATTAGTAACTGATTTGGAAGAAATTATTTTTAGAAGCTTTCGAACACGTGGGCTTGAATAATAAGAGATAATTTTGGTCTACATGAGGTGGCAGTGCTGTAAAACCAAGGTTTCTTAAAGTGGTCACAAATACTCACTCGCAATCACTTCCTGGAACCCAAAGATTGGATGCTCCGGTGTCAAGCAAGACGAAAAACTGTTGGGCAGGTGTGCCGATCGTTATGTTGCCAACAAACTCAAGGTCTCCGGAGCTGTGCACCTTAACGAATATACGTTTTTGTATACAAAGCCACTCATTGAGCTCTGTCTACTTCAATAAAAAAAAATAGCAATTTAAGCCGTGTAGGAGGAAGGCAGAGTAACAGATCGATTGTGATCACATCTGGAATCTATGTGGAGATATATTTGTAGGAAACAATAGCAAAAGGCCTCCCCTTTAGCCGCAGTCACTTTACTACATACTTTTCGAGAAATAGACTTACAGTAACCGCTCCATTTGCAACTAATTATACGTACACAGTTTATGAAATTATGGATCTGCTTATTTGAACTAAAGCAAGAGAAAGGTAGTCCAAGAGTGTCAGGATGAGCAGAGCTCTAATGACAGCTTTAATTCTCATCAGCAGGTGATGTTTGTGAACACTAAATTTGAAGGAAGGAGTATTCTCTTCGCATACGATTTTTTATTTTATTTTCGTGCATTTCATTTTCTGTCTATGCTTTTTTTTCTCGTGTATTCTATTGGTTTTTTCTAGTAGCGTCTAGAACACCAAAGGTGTCATCAGAAAAATCAAGGGCAACTTATGCTTTATGTGTAATAGAACACAAAGTAAAAAAATGATACAAAACCCACTTGTAAATGTAATATACGTCGTTTCATAGAAATTATCATAAGAATAAATGCGTCTTGAACCTGAATCTTAAGGGATAAGTTGTTCCTACCCGCTGTGTAGTAGTGATGAGTGAAGAGGAGCGCCAAGCATTACGGTGCTTGACGAAAGCAGCATAGTCGCCTCTTTCGATCATTTCCATCTATAAAAGCGATTAATTTACTTGAGAGTGCTAGTTGGTTTTTTAGGTAATTGTTAATACCATTTTTGGCTTACGCCACATGAGAGCGTGCTGAAGAACAGCTGCCGTTGCTATGCTGACACTGACGACGAAAACTGCGGTGTACATCCTAAGGAAGAAGTTGTTGCAAATTATTTAATACGATCTGTTGTCAATGGCGCATTTTCTATTGTAGACAGAATGTACAGCATAAATTTTTATTACACAAAAAGTTTTATATAAAAAAAGGATAGCCAAGCTAGGTAATGGTAAAAAAAGTGAGTTGTAGTTAGCGACAAGGTTCTTCAGGAAGCAAGGTTCCGCTCAGAACCTTTCTCAACGCTCACCTCCAATCTGCTTGGGAACGCCCTAGCCTGGCTCTCTCTAAGATTTCAAGAAGAGTTGACAACACCAGCACTTTTCGACATTTATAAAGAAAAGTCGAAATCCTCAAGCATCGGCCAAAACAATACGTGAAATTTTCGAAGACCATGGTTCATGTTGGATGGAAGGAAACGAATCGAGTGCAAGAAGTGCTGGAATCCACATAGCTGCTGATGGGTCATGTAATAATAATGATAATAATAGTATAATGATGATAATAATAACTGAAATATTAGGAATATTTCCAAACGATATAGAAAGCTTTCGCTCAAGAAAGGCTTGCTATGCACTAGAGCAATGTTTGAGATATGTCAAACACGGAAGAAAAATTTCTGCTAGTGCTAGAAGAAGTGCAAAGGTGTTTGAGCCAGCGCTTCCAGTCTTATCGCGATTACCTTTTATACACACTTGTACTGATATAATTCATTAGCATTGGTTATTATCATAGGAAAGGGTGTGGCCCTTTAATGATTGATTAAGAAGCGGTTCTTCAAAACCTGCAGATGGAAAGTATACGATGGCACACGATGTTTCAAATGGTACACAATGTTGACGCATTGCAGACAAAATCATTTGAAGCAAGGCGAAAAACTGTGAATGCAGAACCGATGAAACATTCTTGTCTCAAAACTTCGCTCGCATCAAAAGCGAACATTTATGTGTGCTATACATAAAGCCATAAAGCCATTGGCGTGACCGGAAACTAGCGTCGGATTCGGTTTTTCACTTTTTTTCACATATTTTTGCAGAACTTCTCGTTGGAATTTTTTTTCATATATTTTCGCTCTAAGTTATTACTCAATTCGGTTTACAATTACATTACATTATTTTAAATTCATAACTTAAACTGTGCTTTTGGCACAGTTTAAGGGCTAAAATATCAGGTGACTGAGCAGCAGTCTCAACACTGTACTACAAGGCAAATCTAACTCCAATTTGCCGCCTCCAGAAAGATGGAAGGCTTGGTGAGACTAGGGGTGGGATCGAACCAACGATCACGTGTAAGATGCCAAACGTACCCTAATTTCACAATGCAGTGCGGAATCACTTCACAACACCATGCTGCCTGCTTTTAGCCTTCGCCTTTTTATTTCATACTGTTCTAGAACAACATTAGCTCACATTACATGAGTTGCATACATTAGTTTTATCCTACCCTCTTAGAGTCTTGTCATCCTTAGCTTTAAATGGCAGACAAATAATTCAGAAATCTGATGAGAATCAACCACTTAAAAGCACAAAAGGATGATCGTTTAGTTGCGAAACTAATTCTTGAATTTATGTCACGTTTATTGACATCCCACCCAATACCCTACGCCGTCAGTTAGTTCGAAACCGTCGCTATGATCGTTTGTGCAGCTCAGAAAACTGCGTGATCTGTCCTAACGGGATAGACGGCGATTGCATGAGTTTAGGTATAATATACTTGATCTCATGTAATGCATGCGGCGAGGAGTATATTGGGGAAACGGGTAGACCACTTTGTGTCCGCATAAAAGAACATCTGGATGGGAAAGTTAAAATCCGTCTAAACACTCCTCTAGGTACGCCCAGGGCACAAAAGCACAACGGCGATGATTTTGAAGTGAATGTGCGGATCCTAGCGCAGGAATCAAAAACATCAACGCGCAAAACTCTCGAGGCGTTTTGGATACATTTCAAAAATTCAAAGATGAACCGGAAGGACGAATGCCTCACTATCACGCGTAACCTGGCGCCCTATTTCAAAATGATATTTTGACTCCGGGGCGTGTCTTGCTCGCGACTCCACGTGAACTACGTGTGGGCCAGTCCCGCACGTAACATCACGGTGAGTGGCCTTTCTGTTCAATATGGCGTCTATTTGAAAGTTTGGTCATCATTAATACTTTAACCTTCTTTTCCACCGAATAATAAAAAGTATTCTAACATAAAGTACGTCCAGGCTCTGAGGAAGGCGAAGTCGCCGAAACGTCAGCCATCGATCAATAACATCAAAAACAACGACAACGAAGATCTGTACCAACCTCGCGTCAGCTTAAGAACAGTTTATAGGATCACATAAATAAACACGCAAAATGTTCAACTTTTCTTCCCCGACTATTCTTTTTTCGTATTCCTAGGCTGTTATGGAAAATACAACTTTTACTGCCTTAACTTTTATTTACTGCCTACTCTTCACAAACTATATAAAGATAAATATGTATATATATAGAACCCCTTTCCTGTACTTTCTTCAGTCAATCAATAGCTCGTCCAGATCAAGCATTACGGTTGGAGTCAACCAGGGAAGGCTCTCTTTTGCACTTAAAAAATATACAAAAACTTCTCGAACCAGTTCATTACCGATAATTTAAGAAAAAAACGAAGATCTGTACCAACCTCGCGTCAGCTTAAGAAGATCAGTTTATAAGATCACATAAATAAATATATCAACTATCCATGCCGAGGTTTATAGAAAGTCGGTCTTTCGAGTTGACTGTTATTTAAATTCTAAGCGCTATAATGAGCCGTCGTTACCGTTCGAGTTATGCGGGTCCAAAAATGCGGATATAGACCCCATATAAGCCGCAAACACTACCAAATGCTTACAGCAGTTATTCAAGAGACGGGACCACAGCAACGTATAGTAACTGGCAGTATATATACCACTTATGCCCATAAAGCAAACGAGCAAAGTCTCTGCTACATTTTTCTGATGTTCAAAATTCTTTAAGTCTTCCAGTTAATATGAAGTACCGTTTACCTACGGGCGCGTGTGACGCAGTGGTCGGAGGCGCACCGCAGCATATGGAATCGAGCCCCGCGCCCTTGGCCCACCAAGCTCTCCATCCCTCGAGGGTCGACAAATTGGTACCAGACTTGTCTGCAAGGATAGCAGAACTGGCTCGATACATCGGTAGCCCACCGTGTGTCATTGTAAAGGCCAGATATGCGTTCAATCACCAATAAGCGATGCTTAATGAAGTTGAAGGCATGGCGCATGCTTCTGGAATTGATCAACGCCCAGAGCGCTATCCTTTTATCCTTATCGTTTACCGTCTCAAAGCTGGCATGCCTGTAACAGTCGAAAATTAGGCGTCGATCCTGCTTCCCGCACATAAAATTATGCGTCGTCGCAAATGTGTTAATGCTGCGTAATTTAATCGTTCATGCACACCAGTGTGTTGTCCATTTACCCTATTAGTCGAAAAAGGTTTTTTTCGAAAAAAAAAAGTCGAAAAAAAGGAAAATTGTACTAGGCCAAACGCTTCAATGACACTTACAAACAGACGAAAAACTCTATGGTAATTACATGATCAACATCTTCTCGAAAAACCCACCGCTTTTTCGTGACTTCCAGTTAGGAAGGTTAGAACAGCTGATTATAGTCGCATGTGGTTGACGACTGGACCATCCCACATCAGAAATTGATGCGAACATAAGGGGTTAGGTCAAGTGTGAACTCTGGGATTTCATCCCTGCTATTCATTGCAAGGTTTTTGGCATTTATCCAAAAAGCCTCAAAAAGTTTTCGAGCTGATGTTTTAGTCTCCTGTGCAAGGATATTGACTTTTACTTCAAAATCATCTCCGCTGTGCTTTTGTATCCTATGCGTGCCTAGTGGGGTGCTTCGTCTTAGTTTTCGTTTGCCATCTTGGTGTTCTTTTATACGGATACACAAAGGTCTGCCCGTTTCGCCAATATATTCATCTCCGCAATTATTACAATAGATCAGGTATGTCGTACTTAAGCTCATGCAATCGCCGTCCCTGCCGTAAGGGGAAATTACGCAATTTGTTGTTTCACACAGACGGTCATACGGGCGGTTACGAATTAATTGACGACGTAGAGTAGCCGGTGGTATTTCAACTAACGCTCCCGATTCCTCTAGCCCTGCTCTTTCTAAGGATAGCTACGCTTACTTCATCGCTAATGAAAGACAACATAAACGGGACTTTCTTCTGGCCAAGTGTTTAGCGCGTCGCTCTCCTTCTAAACTTATCTTGTGCGATTACTATTTCGTAGCCACTGGAAATGGCTATTTGCCGAGTCAAGTCGCGCGATTTTTCCTTTAGTTTTCTGGTTGTGCACATAGAGGTGTAGAGGTAGCTTTTCGAAACATGTTTCTCACAAGCGCCCTCTTTGTGTGTGAAGGGTGGGAAGAAAGGAAATGAACGAGGATGTTCTTGTTACTTGGCTTGCGGTACCACTTTGTCAAGTAACCGCTGCTTGATGGGTTTATTTGAACGTTTAAAAGCGGAAGCCAGTTTTTCTCCGTTTCTACTGGGTGAACGTTATGTACTCAGACTGCTCGTGCAATAATTCAAAGCATTTGTCCATCTCCTCCTGCGTAGAGAAGACGACAAAACAATCATCCACACATCTGCAGTAGAGTAGTGGCTGGAGATCCAGAACAGGGGCTTCTATCTTAGACATAAACACAATGGCAAGGCTTGGTGCCAGTCGCTGCCCCATTGCCAACCCCTTATTTGCAGGAAATATTTCTCAGGCCATCTGAAAATCGAGCAGTTTAGGCAAGGCACACCTTTAAGAGACCCATTAGGTGGTGGATGGTCAGGCCATACATATTTATTCCTCCTTTATGTTCAACAAGTTCGAAGATGGCTTGCATTGCGAGTCACTTGACACGGTGGTGTACAGTGTAGTTGCTAGTCGAAAATAGGCCTTCGAGTCAGTTCTCGGCACCCAGTAATCACTAGCTTTTAGCAGAATGCTCGACTTCGTGAATAAATGCCACGCGGGACTTTTCGTAGTAGTCACACGGCAAT